CCACTGTCTCTAGTGAATGACAAGACCACTGTAAATGCTCAACATTCAAATAGAAAATTGTTTCTTGAGGCTTCCATGGCACAAAATAAAAGCTCCGTAAATCTGGGCCTCCATATGTGGTTCTCAGCTGGTGTAAGTCCCTGAATGAATTACATGCGAACAGAGAAATTAATGCTACACACATGGTGGCCAAACTTGAAAGCAAAAATTGCAGCTGAGAATATTCTGCAGTGGATTATGAAATATTTGAAGATAAATGGAAGCTGGAATCCTTGTTGATATTATGCATCATTGATGCATTTCAAGGGATACATAACCATAATATTGAGATCACATGGGGAGAGGGTAAGGAATCATTTTTTTAATTGAACAATGCACTGTAATCACAGAGTAAGTTAAAAGGGAAAAAGTACAAAAATGAAGCCCCATCATAAGTTTGGACATAAAATAGAAGAATGGACCATTTTGTTTCCCTTTTTAAATCCTGCAATGTACTATATTACTATATATGTGTATTATAAAATATAAACTTTGGAGTCTGATCATTTAGAAGAATCCTTTTTGAAAGAAATAAACTTGTATCATTTTGATGATCAATTACCCAGAAGTATTTGCACTTTGAAAAAATTGCAATTTCCCCTCTGAGTGGAGGGAAAGGGAGACTGAGAAATCTGCATGTTACTACTAATTCTAAATGAGACTGTAGCAGGGCAGTTACCCTGCTCCTAGAAAAAAGGGCTGGGCTGATTGGGGAAGCAGCCACAGCTGGGGCCACACCCCAATCAGGCCATACCTGGCCCTGTTATAAGGGCTCAGGGAGGAGCTAGGACTGGCTCTCTCCAGCCTTGGAGGGAGAAAGACCCGGCTTCCTGGGAGCTTAGGGAACAGAGCAGAGATGGGCTGGGGGAAGGCAAGAGGAGCTGGGGAGCTCCAGCCTGGTAAATCCCCAGGCTGCGGGCCTTGCTAAATGGCCAAAACAGGTACTGGGGTTGCACAGGCTGCAGCCTGGGGTTAGGCAGAGGCAGCTGGTCTGACCCCCCCCCCTTGCCAGTGATGAGTGGCCTTTTACAGACTGCAGTTTGCCCCAGTGAGCGGGCGCTAGATGATGACTGGCAGTAGCCACTGAGGCAAGGTGGGGATAGAGGGTTGGGGGTTCCCCTGGGAGAGGAGTCCCAGACTGTAGGTTACTGCTGGGGACAGAACCCAGTGGAAAAGGGGCACCGGGGTCCCGGAGGGACACAGGGGCCCTAAGGCAGGTGCCTGCAGAGGGCGCTCCGCGCTGGACAAGAGCTAATTCCCAGGATAACCCCCCAGCAGGAGGCACCGTGCTTGTGAGTCTCGCTTCACTACAGAGGCCCATGTCTTTCATGTGCTATGAAGCTATGCAAAGCAGTACAAATATTGCCCTTTTTCAACCTGAGCAGCTAGTCACATTTCAAGGCCCTGGGGATGTGCCAGTAGGAAGCAGAAATTGATGGAGTATGGCATTTTCTTTGACACAATCTTGTTTATTTATAAGAAAAGTGCAAAGTCCTGCTTCTCCAAACGCAGGAGGAACCAAAACTAAAACCAGCAGTTTTTAGCTTACAGCTCCAAACCTCTTTAGCCAACAGACCCAAAAATTCTCTCTCTAACTTTTTCCACACTGTGCTCAGAGACTGCTTGCTTTTTGCCTCTCTCTCTCTCTCTATCCTTGCCTGTTCTCAGTTTGTGTGATTTCTCTTCCCTCTTGCACAGCCCTCCCCCACACCAAGTCACAAGCACAGTGGAACCTTCTGCCCACAAAGTTTTTGTTTCTGGACAGACTCCATGAGGCGTTCTTTTGGGCATGGCCCCTTAACCGTACCCTGTCTTAAATGATTCACAAATCAGTTTGAATGAGGTTTTAGCTCAACCCATAGCAAGGTTTCATCCAGCTCAGAACAATGATAAATAAAACAAATGAAACCCTCTTAATTCATTCATGAGCATCAGTGTTTCAAGTAGGCAGTGCTGTTAAAACGAAGGGCTGCTCTACCTTGAAAGCTTACACTGGCATAGCCACATCTCTCAGGGGTGTGAAAAATCCACACCCTTGAGCTATGCCAGCCTAACCCCTGGGGGTCAATGGAAGAATTCTTCTGTCAACTTCGCTACAGCCTCTCAGGGAGGTGGACTAACTACCACCATCGGAGAACCCCTCCTGCTGCTGTAGTGACTATACTGAAGCACTACGGTGGTGCAGCTGTTGCTGTAGCACTTCGGTGTAGACATACCGGTAGCCTACATGTTCTGGAAGAGATGGAACTAGGGAAGGGACTGCTACTTGAACAATGTCCTTTACTTGAATTACATATTTGTCCGCACTGTATTTTCTAATGCCCAGGAGTCTGTTGATTCAACACTTTACATACTAGAGAACTATCAAATGTACCTGATAGAAAGGATACCAACTGATACACACTTTGACCCCTATACAAGCTATGTCCTTTGGAAATACCAACATTCCAATAGCACCTTCTGAAGAATGCTGAAATGTTTTACTGTGGTAGAAGGCAACAGTGAAAGGGGCAATGACCATGTGTTATCACTGTGTATTTTGTGTCATCCCAAAGCACAATTATTGGACCTTGTAAATTGTTAGATATAATATTATGTACATTAATGCAAGGACAACTGTGTGGAATAGTGGGCAGAGTTCAGTGGTAGAATATAAGAATGGCCCTACTGGGTCAGACCAAGGGTCCCTCTAGCCCAGTATCCTGTCTTCTGACAGTGGCCAGTGCCAGGTGCCCCAGAGGAAATGAACAGAACAGGTAATCATCAAGTGATCCATCCCCTGTTGCTCATTCCTAGCTTCTGGCAAGCAGAGGCTAGGGACACCATTCTTGTAGGAGGCATGAATTGTTGAAGAGCTGCAAGCAAATTGTGATTTCCTCAAATTTGCTCATTATTTCAATTAATTTTGCCAGTTTTTGTCAAGTTTTTTTCTTCTAAATCTATAGATTGTTCAGGAACAATTGCAAATATTCACTGTTTGATAGATGTAGTTTAAACTGTGTTTGCTAGCTGCGACTGGTCACCTAAGAGAGTTTTAATTTTCTTCCCTATATGGAAAGAGGTATGTTTTGTACTCAGGAATAGGGTTTGACAAAGGCACTGGGGCTTTGAATGGAACAGTGTAGGCAATAGTAACAGATGTAGAACTTGTAAGCTTTTGGGGCAGGGGACTGTCTTATTGTTCTGTATTTGTACAGCACTTAACACAGTGGTATATTGGTCCATAAACAGGGTCGCGGGGGGGGGAGGCACTTTGCCTTGCGCCCCCGCATTTGAGGGGCTCCCAAAATGATGGAAGGGCTGCCAGGCCAAATTTCAGTGAGAGGCATTTCAACCTGGCACACACAGGCACAGTGCCACTCAGGTTTGGCTCTGCCATCAATAACATGTTCAATTGTTTGTGATCAATCCATAGACTTAAAAATCCCAGCATTTTACCTGTGGGAACCATTAATTTTATTTTCTTAATCTCACTGGAAACCAGCTGTAAACTATAATGAATAAACAACTGCACCTCAGTCAGGTACTAAGCATGCTCCATCCTAACCCCTGGTGGCATGAAGGTGCTGCAAGGAAGGCAAGAAACTCTCTGTTCCTTTGCCAATTAGCCCACGAGAGAAAAAATTCCTTCCTGACCCCATAAACAGGCGATTGACTGGAACCACAGCATTTGTTAGGCTGTATTCCCATTCCTAGTTTGTGTGGGTAGAGTGGGCTGCTGGAATGGAACTGAAAGAGGCTCCCCAGGGCCCTTGCATGGGGCTAAATCTTGGGAGCTGGGAAATGCTGGCCAATCAGCACCCCTCTGCCCTAGCTGGCCAATGGGTGCCAGAGACTTCTGGGGGGAGGAGCTACCTACTGTCCCTTGGTGAGTGTCTCCCTCCCTTGCTACTGGAACTATCCCCCTTTCACCGCTGGCCCCATCAAGTTCCCCCATCCATTGATTCAGGTGCATGGTGTTGATGCCTTTCTTCTCTTAGGTAAGTTCATGGGGGATATGTCCATCAATGGCTATTAACCAAGATGGTCAGGGACGCAACCCCATCCCTAAAGCTCTGACTGCCAGAAGCTGGGACTGGACAACAGCGGATGGATCACTTGATAATTGCCCTGTTCTGTTAATTCCCTCTGAAGCCTCTGGCACCAGGCCCTGTCAGAAGACAGGATACAGGGCTAGATGGACCTTTGGTCTGACCCAGTGTGGCCATTCTTATGTTCTCTGGGTATCAGTTGTATAAACTGAGAATGCCAAGGAATCAATTCCGAGTTCTTAAGGGACTCTGTGAGCACAAAATTCATGAGACACCTGAGATTATTAAAAATGTAAGGATTTAAAAATCTACTTGACTGTTTATTTTTTGCACTTCAGTCAGCTCAGACAGTGAACGTAGGCTGAACAGCTTCCCTGGGGTTTCCAGTCCCAGGTTCTGGTTCTCATGCCCTGGAACAGTGCTGCTGCTCTGAGCTCACAGCACTGCAGAAAAATGAATATTTAACTTTTTTCCAAAGTGACTTTTTAATTGAAATATTAAATATTTCATGAGCCTTTTCTGTTCAGAAGGGAAAAACACCAAATGAAGAAATTGGGCCTGATTTGCAGTTACGCAAAAAACCCTTTATGCTGTACTGGCAGCCTAACAGTGACGGAAATGGGTGATACACCCTCCATAGAGGACATCCCTGGCTTGTCTAGTGCTGGTGTATGGATTCTATCCCAGATCTCCTCTCAGCCCAGCCCCTGGTATAGGGATATGTCTGGGGTGGGTCAGGGTGTGACCAGATTGCACTGTGCTGTGCCTGTTGTCTGCTTCCCCGGGCCTGATGGGAACAAGAACAGAAGCTAGAACAGCTTGGAGGCTACTCTAATTTACCCCAGGAGCTGGGCAGGCCCCTGTCTGCCCCAGAATACAAGGATCACAAAGGTACTTTAAAGCTACCTATGTGGGCCCCCCCAACTTCAGGAATGGAGGAACTGAGAACAGGAGCCAATCGGAGAGAAGAGTTAAGAGTTGGCTCATTCAAATGGGTTTGAAAGGAGGTATTCACAGATGTTTACACCTCTGACTCCCAATCAGGGCCGGCTCCAGCATTTCTGCTGCCCCAAGCAAAAAAAAAAAAAAAAGCTGTGATCGGCGGCGGCAGTTCAGTGGCAGGTCCTTCGCTCCTAGAGGGAGTGAGGGACCTGCCGCCCCCGAATTGCCGCAGGTGCCGCCCCTCTCCCGTGGCCGCCCCAAGCACCTGCTTGTTAAGCTGGTGCCTGGAGCTGGCCCTGCTCCCAATCTTTCCATTACCTGCACAGGTGGCCTTGTATCATCCCCTTGAGTTTACAATGATTCTAATGCTCATTGATGTCAAGATGCCATTTGCCTGTGCCAGGATTTCAGAATCAGGCCTATATAACCAATCCAAACTTTAATAGGTAGGGCTGCAGCTTGCTTCCAACATTCCAGTTGGGGAAAAAATGATCTGTCATGGTCCTTTGTGAGAGCATTTGCTTCGTAAGTGTATTTGTCTAACACTCCAGTTCCGCTCAAATAAAATCTGTAATCAAAACAGATGACACTTCTAATTTAGCGAGGGCCTCTCTGATAGCACTGAGCTACAGCACTTTGAGTGGGACCATCAGTTCACATTCCTCTTCCCAATTAAATGACAAAAACTAGTTAACTAATGGAATCAAAGCAATATCCTAGATGAGCTATGTAAGAAGGTATCTGAACTGTTTACACACACTTGTTTGCTTTTTCATGACTTGAAATTAAAGTGTCAGCGCTATACTATGTTATACACTAGTTTTGAAGGGCCAAAAAAGTATACTGGGAATATATACAGTATTTTTTTTAAAGGTGCATTTACTGGGGGGCAGGGAGAGCTCATATAATGCAGATAGATTTTTCATCATTGATGAAATCTAGAGTTCCCCGGATGAAGGCAGTGCAAGCAAATCTTGGCATGCCTGTGGAGTATCTAGCTTCCAGTTGAGGGGAGGAAGGAGCCTACATAAACTTATTTAAGGAAAATAATGCAATCTGACCCACTGCTATTCCCCCTCTCCTCTGTCCTGGGAGCCCCCTGCAATTGCAGCAGATCTGCCAGGTTATCTCAGTCAGTCACAGTTAAGACTTGCCCAAACCTTGTGTTCTCTCACTCTCACCTGTGTGCATCTGGTCTCCAGAAATGCGCTTTTACAGACAATAGGAAACCGATGTTTCCCGTATGATTTTTAATCTCTCTCTCTCAGCAAAGTAAACCTTGAGAGGAATCTCTTGGGAAATGCCCTTTGATAGCCTCCAATATCTTTCACTCTGGCTTTAAAAATTCCTCCTCCTCCTCAGAAATCTCTGAAATTTCCTTTACTTCTCCCTCTTCCCCTAGGTAATGGAAGGTGACATGTGTGAGCTGGAGCCTGGCACTTTGAATGCTGAAGATCTTGATAATCATAATGCACCGAGTTTCTCTGTCATTGCCCCCCACCGCCCCGTTCACGGATTGACATTAAATGGAGTCTGTGGCAGAGATGTCGGTCGGTACAAGGAGCTGAACTCAGCAGCCCTTTATCAAGACTTACAGTTTCACAGCTTTTCCTTGGCTGAACTCAAGCAAGGTCTGAGTAATGGAACTTTGGCTTTCCTTTACTGGCTTTTATTGTTCGTACACTTTCGCTGCATCAGGGCTATGTGGATTATATATGATTGCACATGTCCAAAACGGTCTCCTTGGTCTCAGTGTTAACACACTATTATGAGACTTGGATTAATTACAGCCTCTCTTGTGGCCCGTTCACGAGGAATATGGTCATCTGTTCATAGGATGTTTTGTCTTTACCGAACAAGACTTTTAAAAGGCTGGGGTCAGATCCTTGGCTCTGAATGCTTAATAATTTTCATTTATCAGCTTCGCAGCACAAGAGCTTGCCTCTGCTCTAACTAGATTTACGTTGTATGAGCTGCGGATGTCCTCTGCTGGAAACCACAGTTCATTGCAACAAGCTCGATGTATGCTTAAGCTTTTCAGACTCAAGAAAGAGGATGAATTGCACTTTCCTTAATATTGTCTGTGCAAAATGAGCTGGGGATTTCACTTTGAAAACAGAAAGAACTGAGACTATAGTGATAAATTATAGTGTACATACTGTATAGAATGTATGGGTTGCTTGATGGTCAGCGGGATTGTAGTTTTCTGCAAATATAAGAAATAATTGCACAAATCTTCCTCCTCCCCCCCCCGTTTTTTTTTTTACCACACTACAGCTTCCATACTGATTGTAAAGATTTCCACAAGAGCTTGTTGTTAAGTGGATGAAAGTGTACATACCTTCCACAACACAAGCCAAGCCAAAGGGAAATGATGTGAAAGAGAACTGGCCAGTTCAGTCTGTCGCTTAACCATGTGATGGACCCAAAGGCATCTCTGAAGCTGCCAATACAACTGCCTCTAGAATCTGCTAAAGAACCAGATGTATGTTGCACAGCTTGGCATCTGTGTCCTATTCTTGCCAAGTGAGGAGAAAGGAGCAGGGTGTGGAGGAGAAGCAGTACAGGGCTGTGGGCTATTTGATTATGATTTAAGCTGAGAAACCAACCACAGAGCTTTGTTTAATGTGTGTGTTTCAAATTTGTAAAGACCTACTTTAAATTTTTAAAAAACTAGCAACAGTAATTCTGTAGATTGAATTAAGTGAGAGATACACCTTTTTCACAGAGAAAGGCCTTGGAGTGGGGAAAAAGAAATCTCAAATTTGTGTATAGATTAAACTGATTGCAACTATAAGGGAAAAAACCTATTTATTGCAAACTTAATAGAGTTACATTAAAGAATGTACAGAACATTTCCTAGAATCCTATGCATACTACTCCGATAGTCCCAAATGGATCTGACTGCTTGAAGTTGATATACTCATCATTTGAAGCCAGATATAAGACAGGTGTTTGAAGCTTTTGGAAAGTTAACTATCAGTTATCTTAATTTCTTATTCCTAGGAAAGTCTGACAAGCTGAATGGGTCCTTTTCAATTATTTAAATGTACTTTTCCATAAATATTTGTTTTTAAACTTAAACCAAAAATGACCATAGGATATTGTGGGGGCACTGGTGGGCCAGATCCTCAGCTGGTGTAAACTGGCCTTGCTCCGTTAATTCCAGGGAAATCATGGAGCCACACTGATTTACTCCAGCTAAGGATCCAGCCCAGTGACACCAGCTAAGGATATGTAGGGTTTCAATCCATTAGAGCTTTCTCAGATGGAGCACAACTGAACTTATGCATGTTCCACAGAGCGATTTCAAGGAGATGAATACATCATTTAGATCCATCTTCCACACTGTTTGGATTGCACACTCCAGAGAAGTGTAATGGCCCTTAAGGAACTTGTACATAATGTCCGCTTCCGTTTTTGAAAAAACGGAGACTAGAGGAAATTAGCTTCCTGAAGCTGATTTATTAGAAAAAAGCTTATTTTGCAAACTGGAAGGGAATCTATCTGTGCATTCCATATATACCAGGGCCATCCATGAAACACAATCCACTCTTTCCTAGAAGTAAGAAGCTTGTTCAGCTTTTATACAATGAGTTAAAAACCCTTTACGGATGTGATTGAATTTGAGTTCTGTTTTCTTAGGCCTCTCTTTTGCGAGTCGCACTATACTGGCGTAAGAGTCTGCAAGCACAGAAACATTTTAACCCAGCAAATACATGATACATTTGGTGAATAACAATTAGAATTGGCAGAGCACATTTTGTGGCAAGGAGATAAATCTAAATTAAATAGAGAGGCACTTGGTTAAAGTGCTGTGTAAAAACTGTCGTCAGCAATGGAAGGAATAAGACCCTATAAAATATTGGTTGCTGTATCTCTTGCAATTGCTCAGGACAACTTTATTTATTCAATTAACACCTGATTATTTTTAGGAATGTCTTTCCTTTAATGCTGTTTTTAAATTCCAGCATATTCAAATACCTTCTCATTGCATTCAAGTCTCTTTTGAATTTGTCAAACTCTTGATTTATTTAGTTAGGTGCTTTTCAAGCCAATCGCTATCCCAGTTTTAGGTATTTCCTGTCCATGAAGAGCCTGATCCCACATTTCTTCTGTAGCCAGCTCTCCCAACAAGGGTAGAATCATGTTCTAGCAGATGAGATGCTAGATTAGGACTCTGGAGACCTTGATTTAATTCCCACCCTAGCCACAGACTTCCTGTGTGACGTGGGCAATTCACTTAATCTGCCCTGTGCATCTGTTCTCATTTATTTTGAGAAAAAAATGGCTTACTACTTCTCTACCTTGCCAGAGGTGTTGGGAGGATAACATCCAGAATGGTTGTGAAGCGCTTCGACGTTATGATGCTGAGGGCTATGCAAGTACCTAGAGAGATTAACTTTAATGGCAGTTCTAGCTGTGGAAGAAATGCTGGATCAGGCCCAGGATATCCAAAACTATTTTAAAGGCCCCGAAAACACATTCCAGAAACTGTCATGATTTCACCTCTGGTATGGAACTCACCGACGGTCTCCACAGAAGCTCGCCAAGCTTGGATGGTGATGAACTATCAAGGTGGAGGGACTTCCACTGAGATTGTTCTCCACTGGCTGTGCACGAACAGGAATAACCGCAAGAGCAGCCAAGTGGATCTCAGTTGCCATGATCCAATGTAAAAGGGATCGTGTCCTAAGGCTGTCGCTGCTTCTGTTGAATTGAATGGCAAAACTCCTCATTTTAACAGGAACACGATTGGGCCGTGGGATAACCGGGTCCCAGGCCTTGTAGATCTATTTTGAATCCCAGTGATTGGGTTTTGAATCCCATGACTGGTGTCCTTTTGAAGATGACTTGAGTGTTCTGTTCTAAGTTTTCACTGTCCAGTTCTCCCCCCTTCCGCCTTCCTATAGGACTGATGCTAGTGTACATGCATGATGACACAGAAAGCCTAGAGGATAGTTTTACCATGCAGCTGACAGATGGCAAGCACACAGTCCAAGGGACACTTTACATCTACATCATGCCAGTCAACGATGAAATCCCTCATCTTTCCAGGTTAGCTATTTAAGTGACATTGAACGCAAAATGACTTTAAGAAAAAACTGCACGCAGTAGCCAGGGAAAACATGGTTTCATTCTAAGTGTTAGCATTTTGAGTAAATTGTTGTTGGTAGGAAAAAAATATTTTTTTCCTTGTACAGTAATGACATTGAATTGTAACCTGAGCCAGAGTTCAGCTAAAGCCTTGACAGACTAAATACGATTGAGTGAATGTAGGGGCATTTTAAGGACATGGTGAAATCCTGGTTGCATTGAAGTCAAGGGCAAAACTCCCACTGACTTAATTTGGGCCATAATTTTACCCTTCCTCCTCCTCCTCCTTCATCACCTTCTCCCCAGCCTCCTTCCCAACCCACAACACATCTTTCATTTCCCCCAGTCTACTTTTGACAATTACCCCCATTTACTGCAGTGCGATGAGATCCCTATTGATGCTCGTTAGCAGACAGGGGCTGAATCTGCTCTCTTTACATGTTAACCCTCCTATTGACTTCAATAGGTGCTGAATGGATCCAGAGCGCGCAACCTGCAGTGCCAAATGCTCTGAACATGCCTTTTGTGAGGTGCTATTGCTGCTGTTCTTACAATGTTTTTAAGTTAACTCCTGCTCTGACTGAAGAGGAATAATCTCGTGTGTTGTAGCCTGTTCATGATCTTGCTAAAACAACCATGTTCTTTTTAATTTGGAAATATTCTACGGCAAATGCAGGAAAAACTAATTTTCCTCAAAACAAGTTTATTTGTATGTAATTTGTGTGTATGTACAAAACCTGAAAGTTAAGCTTACAAGTATTAAGGCCACGTTTTCCAATTCCAGTGTTTAGGCCCCAAAGTAAATGGCCTGATTTTCAGGAAAACACCTACAAAATTAACTTCAATTCTCAGCCCTCTGTAAATCAGTTTGTTCAGATGTCTAATTACTACAGCTAGTGGAAATATTTTTCCCGAAAAAATAATTTTTTGATTAAGGGTTTGTAAAACCACAAACCTCGAAACAAAATAAAACAACAAAAGTTTAGTTATCAGAATCTGAAAATGTTTTGTTTTTCATTAACTGATGTTGTTGTTGTTGTTGAAAGTTGAAAATAATGTAGGAAAAATTTCAATTAATTTTTTTCATGGGGAAAAAATTATACATTTGTGGACCAGTTCTACTAGTTGCAGATATAGATGCCCAACTTTCGGTACCGAGCTTTGAAAACTGAGCCCCGAAGGCTTGTTTAGATATCTATGTGCTGATTTTAATTTGAAAATTTGGCCCATAATCTAAGGTGCAGTGCAGAGGTGGCTGTTGCTCTCACTCTGGGGTAGGGAGTGGGGAGTGACACTGTGGTATGTTCCAAAGGGGAATGACTTCCATGTCTGGAGTGAAATTTTGAACCCTCTGAAGTCAATGGCAAAACTCCCATTGACTTCAATGGGGCTGGGATTTCACCCCTTAGAGATCAGGCTTCAAAACCTGTCTTGGCTCTGAGAGAGAAAAGCAATTTGGTGACCTCCACGAAGGCAAGCCATCATACAGTCTAGTACAATTAATAGTCTCTGTTCAAGGGTCTGTTCAAAGCCTATTGAAGTCATTGGACTTTATATCAAGCCCTAAAAGGACTGTGTGGAGAAGTCTGCTCTTTCCAGTGGTGTTACAGACTCTTAGTTTATTGAAGAGTTTCCATCAAATGAAGGAGAGGCCTGGTAGTGGTTCAGTATGTTTCATAAGAGGGTTTCAAAAGTTGCCAGACATATAATCGTGAAAAATAAATTTGATAGGTCGAGCACAAAGTAACGGATTGTATTTCTTTTATTGGCCTCGCATATATAGGAAGAGAGTCCAGGGGTAAGGACATTAACCTCGGATATGAGAGATCTTGGTTTGATTCCTTGTTCTACCATAGATTTCCTATGTGATCTGGGGCAAGTCATTTTGTGTCAGGTCGCATCTGTAAAATGGGCGTAATAGTACTTCCTTATTTCACAGGTGTGTTGAGTAGAGCTTGGTGTGAAATGGTATACCAATCCTGCGAGAATTTTTGAGATTTCAAAAACTTTTCCTGTTCTGAATTGGGGCAAAAAGATGAACACTCAAAATTTTTCACAAACTGAAAACCTTCCCTCCCCTGCCCCCCTCCCCCCCAAAAAAAATTGGAATGGGCCAATTGAAAAGTTTTGTTTCAATAATTTTAAAATGTTTCATTTTTGCTTCAATCTTTTAAAATGTTATAAATTTTATTTTAGCTTAAATTTTTAAACAAAAAGTCATTTCGTCCTGATAAATGGAACATTTTTTGCTTTAGAAAATTTTGATATGAGACATTTTGAAAATCCCAAAACTTTTTTTTCAAAATGGGAAATTCTTTGAAATCAATTATTTCCCATGAACAGTTTCAATTTAAACAAATTCCTGACCATCTGTAGTTGTGAGGATAAATATCATGCCTGTATTTCAAAGCATAGATTAATAAGCTTGATGAATGTATAAAACAAAATGTTATTCTGATTTTTCTTCCTTAAAAGATCCCTGGATATTTGGGACCCTTTCTGGCATCCTTGTCAGAGAAAGAGTTCAGCGATTCACTTCATCTTGTCCTTCTCCATAGTGAAGCAGCAGACTGAGGAGTACTCAGTTTGGTATTGATACTCCACATATTTGAAATGGCCTTGGGTATGTTCCCAGAGCATCATGTGTGTATTTTTAAAATGTTTATAGATGCTGTAAACATTGAACGGTTACAAAATGGCAGAGTCCCTGCTTTCTGCCTGGATTTCCTCTGGGGCTCACCTGTTCAGAGTGTGCAAAACTTTCTCCTCTATGAGGGAAACATCGCTAACCTTTCATCCCTGACTTTCAAGTTATGGAGCCCTGGGGCAATGGAGATTTATGACAATCCCTCCCCCCAAATGTCGCAATGTAACATCAGAAGTTTGACGGTACTCGACTGTACTTAATAATATTCAGGGCTGGCCTTTGGTCAAACAGCTCTCTGGAGGAGCCAGAGTTTGGAGCTTCCCAGAGTACAGAAGGCTGCCATCAGGAAGCAAGGGACAGGCTACACCACTTGACCTATTGAGGCCACTTCCAGCCCTACATTTCTATGATTCTCAGTTATTTGATGCATTTAACCACCTTTTTGTCTCATGGAATCTCCATCACAGTTGGCTGTGATTAATCAGATTTATTTGGTGTTCAAATTAATTGAACAAATAACTTTTTAAATTTTTTACACTCTGGGGACTGAGCAATATTAGTCAAAATTTGAGTCATGATAAACCAGAGGAGGCAAATGGTATTGTTTCTTTTTCCTTTCTGGATAAAGATGGAAGCACTTACACCAACAGTGAGTACCAGTGTTTGTGCAACCTTTACTCTTGTTGGTGGGTACTTACTCATGTGACTAATCCTATTGATGACAATGGGATTACCCAGCGAGTAAGTGTTCACCATCATGAGTAAGGGTTGTACAACTGGGCCCTGTAAATTTACGACACAAGTACTTATGCATGCAATTTTGATATTTCCTTTCTGCAAACTATAAGTCAGAAGAACATGATCACTTGAATGTCTGTGCAATGCAAACACAAAAAGAGAGGGTGACAGCAGTTGAAGGAAATTCATTTTAAACAAATTTAAAATATTTTCTTGCAAAATTTTTTTGTATTATTCACCTATGCACTCATAATAGGATTGAAAATTTTCTGTTCATTCTTGCCTGTTAATTTAGGAATTATAAGGCTTAATTGGCTCCTATGGTTGTAATGGAAAGCAGTGTAAAAATTAAAAATAACTACCGAGTTTTGAGAGATCTTCTTCCAGCAAAGGAGAACCACACAATGCTACTTGTGCACCATCCGTAGCCTGTGATTCTGGAAAAGGACATAACTCATATGTAGACATAGGCAGGACTTTTCATTCAAGTACCATAATAAATGTTTGTTTAAAGTAAAGATAAAAAACCCTACGTGCTTGATGCTAAGACAAGCCTGTTCATGCCTAATAAATTGGAGAAATTGCTCAAGAATACTTCATCCGTATGAAAACATGAGCCCTGTACTGCTGCCAAGAGAAGTGAGACCTGTGGTCTCATGCTGTGTAAAGTGATGGTCACACAAATTAGCGTTTCCTGGGTATGGCTCTCTCTCGAACACAATTTTCCTGAAATGTGAAAACATTCTAGGGAAATTACTAGATATTATTTACTTTTTTCAGCCAAATATTCCCCATTTGGGTACGTTCACCTTTTTGCATAGCTGTTTAGCTTACCAAGCCCCAAAATGGAGCCTGAGGTACCATCTTTAGATAATCTGAGCAGCAGAGCAACATCACACCACTTCCTCCATTTAAAATTCAAGGGAGATGTGGGGTCAGGGAGGGATAAAGCATGGGCAGGAAGCCTTGTTGGCAGCAGTCTTGTGGTGGGTGCTGTACAAACATATAAAGACATTCTGTGCCATCCCCAAGAGTTTCCAGATTAAAAAAAATAGGCTCATCTCCTTGCTCACACCCCAACTGATCACTAATTTGTCCAGGAACTAACTGACCTTTCTATCAAGCCACTTCACTCATATTCTTTTCAATGCCTCGTTTCCCTCCCCTCCCTTGTTAGTGTTGCTGCTGCTTTAGTGGCAGCCTGACAAAGTTTTCTACCTCCCAAAGGTTTTTGGCCTCACCCCTGGGAGATGGCCATGGCTGGACCCAAGGAGGTAGCGTGGGATAATGGTACTGGATCTGAGACACACACTGGCCTCCCAGGGCTGGATAGGGGAGCAGCTTCCTGACATTTCTGGTTTTTTTTCTGACCAGCTCAGAAAAAGAACAACCCTCCATTGCACTGATCTGAGTGTAGTGTTATGTAAAATACATCCTCTGGAGCTAGTAGCCGCTGTGCAAGATAGAGACATGGCTAAGTGCAAAGAGGAACAGGAATTTCAGCTCACAGATTATAGTTGTACAATGCCAGTTGTGAAGTGATGTGCCTTTAGTTTATTCACCTGGTGTCCCATTTCGTGTCTTCCTGCAGGTTTGGAAGTTGATGAGAATAAGGTCATTTCCAGTGTAGCATTAGAAGCAGAAGACAAAGATTCCCCCAGGGATAAACTCCATTACATCATCAACAATGTGCAAAAATTAGGGAACCTAAAGTTAAAGGTGCTGACATCTTTCAGTGTCCATCTATTTTTAACTTGTAAGCATGCAGCGTTCCCACTTAATTCTGAACACAGTATTCGCACACCTGAAGTGGTCCACACTTAACCTCTTGCATGGTTTGCCTTTATTGATAACATAAATAGTAACAATAAAACATAAACCGCAGCCAAAATTCTCCTGATTTTGGTTAGTCCTAGGGGTTCACCCTGTAGTACCTCTCTTTCTCTTTCCCAAATTTCCTTTGCCTCAGAAATAAAAGGATTTCAGTGTCTACCCTTTTTGAATTAAAGCTAATAGGACCCACCCGATCTGACATAAACATGAGCCAGTAGACATAACCCTACATCACTGTGCAGAGTCTTTTTAGCATCTGACATTAGGATAAGTCAGCAGAAAAATGTCACCTCTCTATACTGAGTCCTAGAAACTGACACTTTGCTCCCTGACTCTTTGAACCATCTCTTGTAATGAAACATTATAACTGACTTTTATATTGGTTCACTAAGCCACTATGCTGTCTTCTTCCTTTTATAATTAAGCAACTTGAGAAATCCATTGGGGTCAATAAATTTTGAGAACGCTTATATAAAACAGAATATAAATTGGATAGTCTTGCCATCAGAAGCCAGTAAAAGTCAATACCTTTATGTGGCACCTCTACAAATGGCATTATGTCATTGCAAAATATTAGCAAGAAATTGTAAGGTTTTTATGCAGGGCTATAAAATGTAATGAGTCTCACATAATTTACTAATATAAATGCGTATGTGTGGAGGGAGTGAGGGAGTGATTTTAAAAGTAGAATTCCAGCTTTTTGTCATCTTGTGTGCATGAGGAAATCTAGGTCATAGAAATATATTACAGTGTATTTCAGCATTGTTTGTTTTGCTTTGCTTGCTGGGAATGCCCAAAAAATCGTTTCAGGAGTCAGGTGGTCATGCTTGACAATTTTTCAGTAAAAATAGCAAAATGGTAAGAAAATGGAAAATGTTATGGTGCTAGTTAGGATGGCTATATTAGTTCTTGGCTATGGTATAGCGCTTTAACTGTCTGCTGATGCCTGCTCGATGAAGCAAAAATGTTGTAGATTTTTTAAAAAAACAAGGTGCTATATTTCAGTGCTCAAAGTTTGCTTTTTTTTTAAAATGTATATATAATTATATGACCAATCTTTTGAGTCGTTAATTTTATAAGGGGATCATCTGAATGAGGTTTTATGTTACAGTTCTGAATGCTTGAGTTGTGACAAAGTTAAACATGATCTGTGAAGTTGGGGAAATAAGTTCATTGCTTCTTCACTGTTCAGTCTCATGGACATAAGCAAACATGTTTGCTAATAAAAATGTAGAGTAGGGATTGAGCCTTCTAAATAAAAAGCCCAAGTTCTCTGGGAGATGGTTTAAATGACAAGCTCAGCTTTTTGTCCTGTCTGATAATACCGGTCAATAATGACAGCAAGCTGATCAAAACTGGAGGAGGAAAGGGTATGATAGACCGTATTCATTAAATATCCATGCTAGACATTATATAGGAGCAAGAGTAAATATTCAATAGTGAGACTGTTTAACCAAATCAAAACTCTTTTCAGGTGCCACAACTGTTCATTATTACGTGTATGAATGAACGGTCCTTTCAGTCCAACAACAGCTTCATTAATATTCTTAACTTCTTACCAGATTCAGAGCTAAAGAGTTAGAAGTTCTAAAAGATGGCAAACAATCAAATTGCCCAATTTTTGTGGGTTTTGGAAGCGTGACTTTGTAGGACTGTAAACGGGGCTGTGGCTTCAATGAAAGTAATATATATATAATTAAGGATCTTCACAGGTCCTAATATTCACATTTGGAACCCAACATATTTGGGTGTTTTCAGCATTGCTACCTCCTCTGATGTGTGCGAAGTCTTCCGTGGGCAGGTGAGATGCAGTGCAGGAGCTTGCTGGCTGGGATGATGCTGAGGGAATAGCGTGATGGTCACTGTGTAGGGTAAGTTATTAGCCATAAAGATTAGGATAATAATAAATGCATCCAAAATTAACTTGTGCCTCTGCGTTTCAAAAGACTAACAAGTATGGTGGCAACATTGAACTTGAAGAAGAATACCGTTGGGTTCAAAGTGCCTGCTGTGATTGCTGCCGGCCTAGGTGGACTCCTAACCCTCTTCTGCCCTCCCATCCTCATCACCATAGCAACACCCTCACATTCCGACAAGTTCTTGCTACCCCAGTCTCTCCCTCCCTTTTCCCTGGCAGACTCCAGACACTTGGAAGATATTCTTCTCTAGGCTCCTCCAAGAGGTAAGTGACCTACTGTAACTCTCCTCCCAGCAGACTCCCAGCACCCCACAGCCCTGTCCTACTCTGTAGCTCTTGACAAACATAGAGTGCTCAGTTAGGGGCAACATTCACCTGAATCTTTTAAAGTATTTGTCTTTGGGAAAGGGTCTGGGGTGAATTTTGATCATGTTCTTACTCTAGAAGTCAGTTCATAAAGGTGAAAGCTATTTCTAGTACTGTGGACATAAATGGTTGTAGATGCTACAGGTTTGTGCAGGGTTGTACATAATGCCTCTTTGCGATAGCCAAGACAATTATGAATGTACCCTAGGGTGTGAAGCTGCTGTTTGTGGTGTCTAGACTTGTGATTACTGAAATTGAATTAAACTGGAGGAAATTAGGCTGGAAGGAGAGCGGGCTCCTGGAGGGAGGGAGTGGGGAGAATGGAAAAGACAAAAAAACTATAGTACTCATCCTAACAACTCTGTACACCCCCTGAACAGCAAAAGCCCCCACATGTCATCCTGATGTTTGGAAGAAGACTATTTTGCTGCTGTTTGTTTTTTGTTTTGTTTTGTTTTTTTAAAGTGAGCTGCAAAGAAGCCATAATGGCACTTTTTACCATGCCCTATAAAAGCAGTGCATGCATACCAGAGGCTGCCAGTCTGAAAAGGCCAAACTGACTAAACATCCTCAGCAACTCCCTGCCCATCCTGCCTCCACCTGGGCCTTTTGAATTAGTTGCTTTAGAGATAACAAGACTTTGCGGTCGGTGATAGGTCCCAGCTGAACTAGTCTAACTCTAGATAGAATTATTCTGGCAAATAGTTCGAAAACATAATCCAGTATCGAGACAGAGTTTGGGATGGAGTGGAAGGGACACCGAACCACTGATGGGAAAAGGCTATTGATAGTGGACTAGTCTATCTCTTGCTCTGGGCAACCCTTTTCTGGTTCCTCTCTTCTATTTCTTTAGTTGTCTTTTTCTAATATCTTCTCATCATGATATCTAAGTGCTTAGTGCCTCCCCTTTGGCAGAACACCTGCTTCTGGCCAGCTAGCAAGTACAAATAGAAACACCTGAGTGTCAGCTATGAACATTACAGTGTGCTACAATGGACCCATCTGCAGTATTTGGCACATGCCGGGGATTTTTATATGTGACTGGCTGGGAAGTAGGATACCAGAGAGAGACAGAGGGGGGTGTGAGCGTCCGCTGGGCAGACAGAAAACATTGTTTTGGTAAGGGTGCCAACTAGGGTTAGGTGGGACAGTCTGGATTTCTCCCAAATAAAAATTTCTAGGTTGATTTTAGAAAGGCAGGAGGTAGGTTTCCAGAAGAACAAGCTTAGGTGTGAACATTAGTAGTTGTTTCATTTCTTTAGAGACTAAAGCTAGTACCCCTAATAATACTTCCCTCAAAAGGCTTATTGTACGTTACTCCATCGCATGTACCATGTCTTGTGGATTGGCCCATGTGTTAGCTGTGGAAAAGGCGCCCCAGTGGGTTTTTCTTTTTTTATTTGTGGGTACAGATCCAACCATTTCATTCTGTTTTTCAGGCCATGTCATGCTGGACCACTCTGTATCCTGGAATGAATTTCATTCAAGAGGATGTGGACATGAGCCTCCTCTGGTATTTCCATACTAACATCCTGGGTCTAAAGAGTTATGATCGTTTTCAGTTTTATGTGACAGATGGGGAGAACAGCTGCCCACCGGAAAGCTTCTACATCTCCATTAGAAATGTGGGCAAAGGTAGGAAATGAGCCTACAGCAATCATGGGAAGGTTTAGCCCAATATATCCAGTTCACCTAAGTGAAAACTGCAGCGTGTTAAAAAGAAAGGAAATGCTCCTTTTCCCTTTATGTGGCACTGATGTATTTTAAAATGCATGGGCGAAGTTTGTAGTTCATTTCCTCCGAAGAGGCCAGCTCCTCCCGGCATTCTGATGAACAAACTCATTAGAATAAAATCCATTATGCGCATAACTAATGACACAAGTTGACAAATCTGTTGACAATTATGGCCACATCCCTCATGCGTTTACTCATAACTCATTGAAGTGGCCAAGAGAAGGGAGTTCAGTCCAGAAGTCTTACAGCTCACCAGCTCCAAGCGCAGTGGTCTGAGATTATTTCCCCATTGGATTATAAAACTGTCATTAGTGAAGGTAACTCTCAAGGTCCGGGGCACAAGACCGTGAGCCGTTCTCGGGAGACCTAAAATCTCTTTGTAGGCAGGGTGGGGGTATTCCTGGGCTCTTATTCTTCTAGCTGGGTGGAAAAAAAATCACACAAGGTCTGTTCCAAGCACTATCGCATGTCCTTTAGAAATGAATAGAAATCAAATTGAGACACCAGTGTACTCAGAGTGTTAAATTTTACTAAATTCTTGCCAGGCGGCTGTAATTTATTGAATGTAGGTTTTGTGAAATAGTGCTCCAGTCAGTGAGAAATTGGCACAAGAGAAATGGAGGCAGCTAATTCTCAGGGGGTCCTTGTTGGCAAAAACCCTCTATTGAGTCCTCATGCTACTTGTGCTCATAACTGCCGAAAAACCAGGAGTGCCATCTGCAAACTGTGATTCATAAACACTCTGTCAGTCTGCCATGTACCCTGACATCATGAAATAACAAGAAGCAGCATTGTAATAAAGAGAGGAGGTTTGCAGTCGACCAATTAAATGCATCTAATTTATTTCTGTTACAGCTGAGGCTTTATTTATTAGTAAACAGCTGCATTTGTTACACTTTTTTTTTTAAACTAGGCGTGTGCCAACTGGCACTTTTGATAATCCATTAATCCTAAATAATCATCTGGGTACTTCATGGATGCTGGAAAAAAGGAGAGAAAAGGTTATTAAAAGTTAAAATGTAACCTTGCAAGTAGGATGGAGGGTACTATCCTGCAGTTGGCCTGCATGAGTTACAGTGACGTAAAGTTAGCAGGGCAACTTGTGTGCTAAGTATACACCCTCATGCACCCGCCTTGGCAGTCAACTACAAGAGAGGTAAACCCCATGCAGGATCTGACCCTATGAATTTTAAACATAGCCTGTATGTGAAGAAGGAGCATTTTGCCTGCTGGTTTCCCTTCCCTCCCCCTTTCTTAATGCTAACTTGATTCTCAGCATCACTAAGAATCCGCTAATTGGTTGTCAAAGTCTAATTAGCTGACATTACAAAAAGTGTGTGTGTATATGTATATATATATAGATATGTGTGTGTGTGTGTGTATATATATATATAGAGAGAGAGAGAGAGATTTGCCTTTTATAATTGGAGCTGAAAACCCAACCTTTCCCCCATCTCCCCCGGTGTGTGTTAATTGAGTTCTAGGACTTTTCAGTGTATTTTTAATGCTCTCTCCTTTTCAGTGCCCTGGAAAGCTTGGCAGTTAATGAGACAATAATATGTGCAATCAAGGAAAAATGTGGTACAAAATAGGCAAAGGCTTGTGCAATTGGGGGTGGTGACTGGAGTGTGTGTGTAGGGGAGGGAGTGGGTCTCTCTAAATTGGGGTCACAAAACTAGTACAAATCCATGAATTTCCCCCTTGTATGCGTTTTCCACCCCACCTCCACTTCCCAAGTGGGAATAATACTTGTAAAGAACTGTTTTACTATCTAAAAGGGGTGCCCTTGTGACAAGTGTTTGATGCAGGAGTAACTGGATGAAATTCTCTGGTTTGTGTTATACAGAAGGTCACACTAGATGAACTGATGTACCCTTCTGGTCTTAAAATCTATGAATCCATTAAGAGTCTCTTCCATCACCCTGTCCTTCTAATATACGTTCTGATACTGTGCTCATCACCATGGTATCTGAGCACCTTCCAGCAGTGCCTTATGCATCATGACTAACATCTGCCATGTGTTGTTTGTTCCCTCATCCTCTTCCCGGGGGAGAAGTGTATGCAGTGGAGTGTCTTGTTTTGGTAGGGTTTTTAAAATATACGTGTTGCAGTGTATTTTTTAAAAGGCATTGCTCCTAAAAAGAGGTGGGCGCACATAGGTGTCCTGTACGTGACACACGATACATTTACTTTTTCAGCCATATTGTCCTCTTTTCCACCTTCTCTCTTCCTCCCCGGCACCATTCCCTCTGTACCTGCTTTTAAACTGTCCCCTCTGCTCCTCTTGTCATCCTAACTTCTCTGTACCTTCTACCGCAAACCCACCAATGTTCTATTTCAAGTAGAAGGTTCAAGCCCACGATGTTTGAGCAAGTTCATAACAAAAGGCACGCAAATCTCCCCGACCCTGGCAGAGAGAGAGAGAGAGTGAATGCACAGTGGCCATTTAAACCTAATGGAACTTTCAAGAAGCTGCCTGTAAAAACGCTGAGGGCTGAGAATGCCCAAGTCAGAGAGGCTGGGCAATATTGCCAGTCTTGGGAGTCCAACTGTGTTTTTTCTCTAGGTTATTGGATATGGAAATGATTTATCATTTAAAAAAAAAACATAGTAGGGCCAAAATCTGCCATCAAATAAAAATGACTTCACTAGAAATCTGATGCTAGAATTTGTAACCCGTCTCAATTTGTACCCTATGTATATTGAAATATAAGAAAAAAGTGATAAGAACAGTAGTTGATTGGACTAACCAGAAGAAAACTGACATCTTTCTGTATTAATCTGATTTTAACATATTATTCTAATTCCAGGTACTACAGTATTATGCTGCAAAGATGGGTTTTTTTTAAATAAATTACTAGATGATGTGCAATGACCAAGCTATTCAAACATAGGTGCTTAAAATGAGTCACCTAGGCTCTGCTTCAGCATGTCCTGAAGTTAACGTGACATACATGTGTGTTTTAAGAGCTTTGTTGAATCTGGGCCCTAATTCCATAGTTAGAGACTAACTAGATGGCCTAATCTTCAAAGGTGCTAGGTACCTGCGGCTTTTATAAATTCCACTACAAGTGTGGACACTCAACATCTCAGACTTCATTCCTAGGGCCTTGTCTGCACTGACACTTTTTGGGACGTCTCCCACCATTGCACAACTCAGGTGCAACTCCACTGGTACTAGCAATGGTATGGGCGCTACCCTCGACCAGCTGCTGGCGTTCTTAGCACCGCATTATCTAGCACGACTCTGAGAATGGTTTGATAACTTGATATTGTTGGTCTAAACAGATCCATGACAGCAAGGGAAAGATTCCCCAAAACTGCCAGTTAGACACAACTTAAGCATCTCAAGTTGGGCATCTCAGTGTAAAGACTACTCTTGAGAACTTGGCCCCAAACCTTTCTGCCTTATTTTTCCCCTTCTGTAAAATGGGGATAATAATACTTGCGCACCTTGTGGTGTTTTGTGATGATCAATTCAATAGCGTTTGAAAAATACTATATACATTTTGCAAAGAAAACTAAATTCCTTAATTTGTTTTAAGATGTAAATATGAGTGGCTAAATCCTCAGCTTGTGTAAATTGCCATAGCTGCATGGCCTTCAAGTGAGCAACAACAATTTACACAAGTTGAGGCTCTGGCTTGCTACAGCTGAGTATCTGCATAATCTTATATTTGTAACCTCTGTGCTCCATCCCCTCTATTTCCCTGCACCCCATAATGTTCGTTCCTCTCATTTGTTTAGTCTTGCCTTTTATTTAGATAGAAGCTCTTTAGAGCAGGGGATGTGCCTGTTTTTGTTAATGTAATGCTTAGCACACTGTGGGCCCCAGAAATGTAAGAAATAGTAACAACACTAGAATGAACACACAACCCTTCAGTGGCTGGCAGCCTTCTGTCACCACAGGCTTGGATGTATTTTTTTAAACATTGCCATTGGGTTACAGAGTTACCTTGGGTAACTTCACCTCCCCGTGCCTCACTTTCCCATCTCTAAAATGGGGAAATTGATGCTGATCTTGGAAAGTGCTTTGAAGTATATTGATGACGCTAGCTATGCTGACCCTACCTACAGTGTAGACACTACCTACGCCGATAGGAGGGATTCTCCCATTGGCGTAGGTAATACACGTCCCTGAAAGGCTGGCTTAACTATGCTGCTCACCCCTGACTGATGTAGGTAAACCGACCTAATTGTCTAATGTCTAACAAGCCATAGGGGCTTATCCCTCAAATTTTCAAGGTGCCCTTATGCTGAGTGTTGTGATCACAGTGGACTGAAGTCAGTTACATTTTGGGGACAGGGGAAAAAATTGTTTTATAGGCCCACTCAAAAATGCTAAGGCCTTGTGTAGTTGCCACAAAGCCTGATTAAGGGGGAGCACAGAGGCTGTATCTCCTGAGTTTCAGACAAGCTCCCTGACTTCTGGACCATCCTTCCCCTGCCAGCTTTGTTCCTCTCTCCTTGACTTTGATGTTTCCTCCCACACGCCTTGATCTCTTTTGGAAATAGCCTGGAAATGGCTCCCAGACTTCAGATGAGCCTTATGAATGTAGTAATACTCTTTCCTAGAGGCAACATATAACTGGAAACCCCCCACCTCTCTTTAAAGCACAACTTTAATGACTTGACTTCTGCCAAATGTTCCAAGTCCTGCATTTTCAAGTATGTGTTCCAAGGAAGAGTTTTGTGGTGGTGTTTATTTCTTTTTAATTTCCCCAAAAATTGCTTTCAAGTGTTGGTTACATTCACTTTATAAAGGCAAAATAACTAATTGTGTTTATACTGTGGTTAACCATGAATAAATTCCTAAGCAATTAGTCACCTGCTTAATGCACGAAATATAGTAGATGCAGTACATCCTAGTGTCCCATTGGTTTCAGTGGCATGCCAGTACAGCACAGCAGATGCAGTGGGAAGCCAGCAATGATGGTTTTCATGGTTAATAGCCATGAAACATTTTGGGTAAGATTGAACCATCAAACTGGTTTTGAAAGCAGTGCCGCAAACTTGGTGCAGAACAGAGTTTGCAGCAGGAGTAAAAAAAAATACATATTTAAAATTTACCATCCCCAATATTGCTAACTGACTTACATGAATAATAGGAGCTCTGTTGTACATGAAAGTCAACTGGCAACATTATAAGAAGGTAAGAGGCATGAAAACTGCTGGCTCAATGCTACAAACACCCTGCTTGTCCGTTATCATCAACATGTTAATCTGTAGCAGTGCATTAGGAAATCGGCATGGCATTTTTTCTTTTTATATATACTATCAAATGTAGTTTCTCTTTGCTTCAGCCTTTGACTTCCTCATGGTGATACGAAGATCACTCATCCTAAGCCCTGGGATAGTCCAAGATGCCATTCTCCACTTTTGTCCCATTGTTGTCACCCAGATCATTGTGTTGTAATTTTAATACTTTCATTTTTTATAACCTAGGAGAGTTAAGAGTGGATACAATAGAACTGTATCAGAGGGCTGCGAACTGGCAAATTATTTCTACTTCTGATCCTAGTTGTCCAACTCCTCGTGGTTTTAATGTATTTTGGCTGCTGTTTTGTAAATGGGAGAGAATTGTGTTGATCTTCCTGTGCCGCTGTGATTTTAAAAAATAAATCTAATGGATATGGAACCTCTGTTGCCGAGATTACAGCATCACATAGTGCTATCAGCTTAAAATGCAATGTTGTGCTTAGTGCTTAGTTCATTAAGGCATTTTGTCAATCGGCTCATTTGGGCCTATTAACTTAATTGTTCTTTGTGAACAAATGGGTCATTCTCTCTCCATAAAGAGAAAACCTCAAAGCCAGTTTAAATATTTTGGGGAACTCCCGTACATGCAAAACTATGCATGCATATGTACACACACACACTGAGTGGAATCTCCATATTGTTTGGATCAGATTGGAAATTAAAAATCAGAAGGAGGAATGTTTTGTTTTTAAAACAAATGCTTCTAGATCTGTATGGTTGTACTCTTGCAAATGTCTTGTGCGCACCTAAGTTAAAGTTTCTTTGTGCTATAAAAGATAGTAATTTAACTGAGGAAAATCCAAAACCTGGCAAGCTAAAACAAAAAATCCTTTCCCAAGCTGTTTTGATAAAGTTCTCTTTGTTAAATCCCCTACAGTGTTTTGTGGTTCATTTCCCTGACCTCTCCCTCTTTGTACAAAAAGCTGATTTCCGCCCCCTCCTCCCCGTGGAATGTAAAAGGATTATCCCCCCTTTTAATTTCTCTTCCTGAGATTTTTTTTATTATTATTTTTTTTAGGGGACATTGTTCTACTCACCAAACCTGTAACTTTAACAGAGGGTGACAGGGTGACCTTGACGACAGATGTTCTTATGGCAACAGATGGCACTAGCAAACCCGAGAAGCTGCTGTATGCCGTCTCTGTGCCACCTGTGCACGGTCAGATTGAGTACATCAATTATCCCGGCATGCCCATTTCCAGTTACAGCCAGTTGGATGTGGTAGCCCAGAAGGTCTGCTACGTTCATGACAATAGCCATGAGGCTAGTAAGGATTCATTCAGGTGAGAAGCCTTCCCGGTTACTCTCCAATGTATTTAAAGACCTTGAGTAGGCTAAGGGTTAAATTTGCTTCTCATTTACTCCCTACACCATGCAATAAGTGCAGTATTTAATGACCGATATGGTAGTAGCGAAGAGACTGCTACAATAATATCGTGGTATATTATCATCAGTACAGTCATGACATATTTTTATTATTGAAGTCATGTGTCCAAAGGCAATAGGAGACATGCATGCTTAGTATTGAGGGATACCTGGCTAGATGTTCATAATCAATTAGCAGGTGAAATCAAAATATGTTAGTACATTTAAGAGGGTTTTTTTCCCCCTGCCCTTTCCAAGATCTCAGGTGGCGGGGCAAGGAAAATAATCTATTCCCCATCTGAAAAGGTTGCTCTCTGGTCAGTTTCTTCCTCCTGAAGAAAGAAAAAATGGTAACATTGTCTGAAATTATCGGTAGAACTTAATCCAGATGGTGGTGTCGTTTCTAAGAAAAAGCATATGTTGGCTATTATGATACTTAAATATAATGGTTTTATATTCCTCCAGTGGGTAAAAAAGGCACACAACAGGGCTGTTTTTTTATCCTATGAATGGAGTGGGGGAGGCAGGAGATTTTATCTTCCAGAATGGTGTGTTTCCCAAAAGATGTGGCAAATTCAATTGATAAGAACCTGCTGTGAAAACCATACTCCAGTGGAATGTAAATTTCTGAGCAACTCTGCCCAGTAACAGGGCAGAGACTTGATTTACTGCCCACTCTGAAATATCATTTTATATATTCTTCTGGGCTTTTTAAACATGTTTTTCTTTCCGATCTGCTTTAAAAGTTATTTACGCTCCCTTTGCAGCAAAATGGGTACTATAGCTAATTTTATTCTTACTATGATTAACTAGGAATAATTTCCTAAGAAATGAGTCAAATTAACAAGGGGAAGAAGCAATCAATAAATCATGAAAGTGGTCTATTTCTAAGTGGGGTTAAAACCACCATTAAATAAATCATAGATTCTAAATTATGACCCACTTGGATATGAGAGAGAATCTCTTCCCCCCCCCCCCTTCAAAACTCTTGGAGATAGGGAAAATTAAAAAGTAGGTGCAAGCTTCTACAGCCCCTTTACACCATCCAGGAGGTGTAAAGGAGACGGAGCCACCTGCAGGAATCTTCCCCAGTATAAGCGGTTTCCATGGGCTGCTGTAATAATACCCAAAATGCTGCCCTGAGCTTGGGCTGTGGCAGGGAGGGAGGGGGTGTATTCACAGCTGCATGCTGGCTACTCTCAGCTCTGAAATGTCTGTTAAGGGGCTGTAACTGCCTAACATAGGTTGGAGTATCCATGGGGCCAATCTAATTTATGTTGGGGATCAGACCCAGAATATGGAGGGCACAAAAGTTGCTTAAAGTCCCTTTGCCTCCCCACTCGTGTGCCTGCACCAAGCACAGGAACAGAGGGTATGTCTACACTGCAGTTAGACACTTGCAGCTGGCCTGTGCCAGCTGACTTAGGCTCATGGGGCTCGGGCTATGGGGCTGTTTAATTACAGTGTAGACGTTCGGGCTTTAGCTGGGACCCTCCCACCTTGCAGGGTCCTAGATCCTAGGCTCCAGTCCGACCCCTAATGTCTACACCGCAGTTAAACAGCTCCTTAGCCTGAACCCCTGAGTTTCTGAGCTTGAGTCAGCTGGCACAGGCCAGCCGTGGGTTTTTAATTGTAGTGTAGACGTACCCTGAGTGACTAGCCCTCTGGATCTAGGACCTGCCTGATTTTTATTACATTTTTTCCCTTTATATTGTTGCTTTGACTTTGCTGTCGCTCATGCTGGTATAACTCCATTCATTTCAATACAATGACTTCTGATTTGCACCAGGGGAAATGAGATCAGAATCAGGCCTACTGTGACTATTACCTAGTTTATATTCTATTTCTTCTGCCTTGCATCAAGTGTTGTCACTTACCCCTTTGCAGAGTGAATGCAGAAAGCACACAAGGTGCAAGGTGTGACGCTGCACTCCATAATGTTTTACGGAAATATGCTTATGAGTGTGAATATAATGTAACTGGAATATGCTTTATGCAAAAGGTCTCTTGTAAGGTATCATTACAAATATCATAATCTACTGAGTGTGTTCATCCTAGTTGTATGTATGTATCATACTTGTATCTGAAGCTAGAAGTATAAATATAACTCTGAGGTCCTATTGTAATTTTGCAAAGTGTGGGCCATTGATGGTGGTTTAGAATCTTGATGGCTCCCATTGACTAGGACAATTGGTTGTAAATGGTCTGTTTACTTGCAAGCCTTCCTGGCTGTGTGCAGGCCAGCCCTGGAAGAATGAAGGCTGGGGTCTCACAGAACATATGAACATGTCACCTGATACTGGAATCCATCTTAAACCTGGTGCTTTTCCATTTAGAAGGAGGGGCAGGGACCCAGAGAGATGAAAGATTCCTGCCTTGTGTAAAAGCTGTAAAAGGGGGTGGAACAGAACATAGTGGGTCCCAGTCATGAGAAAGTCCCTGCTTTTCACCTAAGATGCCTGCTGGAACTAACAAGGACTGTACCAGGGGAAAGGATTGGGCCCAGACTAGGAAGGAGTCTAGTCTGTGAAAGAAGCTTATTACCTGTAAACAAAAACAACAAGGAGTCCTTGTGGCACCTTAGAGACTAACAAATTTATTTCTTAATGTATTAGACTTAGACTTGCGTGTTTTGTTTTATTTTGCTTGGTGACTTACTTTGTTCTGTCTGTTATTACTTGAAACCACTTAAATCCTACTTTTTATACAATATATGGAGATATACCTATCTCATAGAGCTGGAAGGGACCTTGAAAGGTCATTGAGTCCAGCCTCCTGCCTTCACTAGCAGGACCAAGTACTGATTTTGCCCCAGATCCCTAAGTGGCCCCCTTAAGGATTGAACTCTCAACCCTGGGTTTAGCAGGCCAATGCTCAAACCACTGAGCTATCCCTCCCCCTAAAATCACTTTTGTTTATTAGTAAACCCAGAGTAAGTGATTAATACCTGGGGGAGCAAACAGTTGTGCGTCTCTCTATCAGTGTTATAGAGGGTGAACAATTTATGAGTTTACCCTGTATAAGCTTTATACAGAGTAAAACAGATTTATTTGGGGTTTGGGAGCTGGGTGTCTGGGTGCTGGAGATAGGTGACCTGCTGAGTAGTTTTTGGTTAAAGTCTGCAGCTATGGGGGCGTGGGACCAGACCTGGGTTGTGTTGCAGCAGGCTAGTGTGTCTGGCTCTACAAGACAGGGTTCTGGAGTCCCAAGCTGGCAGGGAAAATGGGCTCTCAGGTAAATTCAGCACGTCAGGTGACAGTCCCAAGGCGATCTCTGTGGCTGAACCCGTCACACAAGGTAGTTGAGAATTCCAGCCCTGTTTCTTTTGGAAATGTTTTTTATTTAAGGCACGCTATCAGTAATGCAGAGGAGTTGTGCAAACACCATCCACTCTATGCAAATGTACAGAACCTTTTAACTAGCACTGCTAAAACATCTCAAAATTTAGAAATTTCAGCAAACTTTTTCTTCAAAATTTTGATGGGGAAAAGAGATCGAAAGGAGCATTCCATTTTCTAACCAGCTCTTCCTTTAACCTCATATTTGCAATTATTTTTATGAACTATTTTCCTCCCTAAAAACATCCATAAAATGGAACCAGTTCACTGGTGTCTGTGGGCCCAATTCCCTTGAGCTCACTTGAGCTATGTTTGCTTTTGCCCCTGAAGAATGGTTCCCCAATGTTTTGTATTCTAGGCCAAGGCTGTTAGCTGGTGTAAATCAATAGAACTGCATTTATTTCAGTTGTGCTAGGTCCATTTTACACTGGCTCTTTGGCTTTATAAAGAAAGTTCATAATGCTGCTGCTAAGAGTCTCCTTATTTTGTAATGTGCTTCTCTGTCCAGAGCATTGTGTGTGTTTGTGTGAGTGATTCTTTTGGATTCATTCAGTTTTTGGTTTGGTTTCCATGGAGTAAATCCTGGTCCCTCTTTTACAGGTGTGGAGTGCTTTCTGGCAGTGGAACTGGTATAGTTCCTCTGGACATGGTGTGTGTGTGTGTAATTAGAGGGGCTACACAAGGGATGCACACACGCTCCCCATGTGGCACAGAGCTCAGTTCCACATCTGCACCCATCAGCAAGTAGGTGTTGTGATAGGCCAGGGGCCTCAGTCCTTCCTTTGAAAATTAAAATCTTTTGAAACTGTAAAGCCCTATGGGCTAAACTGTGCCTGTAGGCTCCGTGTTGAGCTAAGGGTGCTGTGTGAGATGCTTTCCCCCTGCCATCCCCCATGAAGGAGTAACCGTGCATGGCATTAGGACTCAGAGACACCCCAGGAATTGTGATTCCTTCTCTACTTCCCCCTTGCTCTAGGGCAGTGGTTCTTAACCTGGGATGCACGCACCCCCTGGGGGTGCAAGATGCCCTTTCTGGGGGTGCGAGACATGCCAGATTTTTTTAGAAGGTAAATCATCGAAAACACACATTAAGCACAGGCATGTAAGTACAACTACTTTGTTTCATCAAACCTATGTATGTATTAACATTATACATTTTTTTAACGATTACTATAATATGCAAACAAAAATATATCTAGGTTTAAAGAACTGACCTACTTCAATGATTTTTGATAAGGGGTGCGAGAACATATTTTGATTTTTGATGAGGGGTGCGAGAACATATTTTGAGAACCAAAGGGGTGCAGGCTGCAGCAAAGGTTAAGAACCACTGCTCTAGGGAGAGTAGTAGTTTGTTTCTGGCCTGTACCAGCAATGAATTCTGACAATCCCATGGTGCGTCAGCAGCAGTGGCCAGTGAGGAGAGGGATGGTAGAGCCAAGACTCCATCTCTCTCTCTGCCAGTTTTCCACCATCCTGTTCTGGGAGCAGCGGGGGAATGCAGCACCTACTTCTACTTATGTCAGATGAAATCCTGGTCCTATTGAAGTCAACTTCAGTGGGGAAGGAATTAACCTCCGGAATCAAAGGCCATGTCTTGATGGGTAAACGGTGTTTTTTCCCCAATCATGTTAGCTCAACAAGGCCAGCTAACCTAACTTCAGATGTATTTACCTGCATTTAAATGGGGTTTCTTAATCACGTTAAGCTATCTTGAGCTAACATGATTGAAAAATATGCCCTTTTTTCCTACCCAGACGTACCCAAAGTGTGGGTAGCTGATGCAGGGATGTGAGCAGAGTTCTTGCTTTGTGCTATGGGTATGTAGTGCATGTCACACTCTGGCTCCAGGTAGCTGCTAATTGTTATTGCTATACATTTTGTGTCACTTATGGAAATATTGCCCTGTTACACCCTTACCGTTATATGAACTGTGCTGTTATGGAATCGGCCAATCAGTGTTGGGCGAGATTACAGCATCGTTATTAGGAGTAGAGATTTCACCAGCCAGAGTTAGCAAGACTCACCACATTTAGCATAACACACAAGTAATATCTGGGCTCCTCCTATGTGCTAGTCACACACTCCTATTCACAAGCATGGCTTCAAATACCATAACTGCATTTATGACTCAAGTCTTCCTCTCTACTAAAGACCTGTTCTTCACCCCCTATCCTATTGTGCATCTTGGCCTGTCTTTTTGTCACCCACTCATGGATATTCAGCCAACAACTTCAAGCTCAACACTGCCCAAAATAAGCTTCTGATTTCCCTCTTCTTCCTCTCTCTCACCCTCATGAAGCTTTCTCCTTCTCTGCCATTTCTCTGTCACCATGGATACCACCACCATCCTCCCTATCATGCAAGCCTTCAATCGAGGCATCATTTTTGATTTGGCTCTTGACTCATGCTACCAGGTCATATCCAAGTCTCGGCACCTCTGCCTACATAACACTTCAAAGATTCAGCCTCTTTGTCTGTCCTGCCAAGCCTCTTGTCCAAGTCCTGACCATCTCATGCCTTGACTAATGTAGTCTCCTCCTCTCTGACCTGGAGGTCAGCCACATTGCCACTCCAAGTCCATTCAGAATGCCGCTGTATCTTCTTGATGTGTTGCTCTAACTGCATCAATTTCCTCTTTGTGTTCCTCTACTGAAAAAGCTTGATCACCTTATCTCTGCCTTTAGGATCCTTTTACTATTTGCCCCTGCCCTATCACTCATGTTTACTGTCTTATCACACCATTGACTCCCGCCTTTGCTCTGCTAGTGATTTAGCCTCAGTCGCCAGCCACTCCACTTCTCTCAAGCAACTTCACCCTCATACAGCCACCACCTTATCCTCGTTCAAATCCCTCCTTAAAACCTACTTCTGCTGCGACACCTACAAATCATTCCTGCCTGGCATTGGCTGGTCAAGTGGCGAGTCAGGACCTCTATTATTCTGCTAAACCCTCTCCCTTATGTTATCTCCTCTCCCTTCTTACCCGTGTCCTGTCCGTCTGTTTTGTTCACCTGCCCTGCCCTGTCTTTCATCTAGGCTATAAACTCTCTGGAGCAGGAGCCGTCATCTTTGCTATTTGTCTACTTGGCTCTGCTTGTCAGCACAATTGGGCCCTGACCCCTGACTGGGGTTCCTAAGCACTATTGTAACACAAATAAAGTAATGATAAATAGCCCTTGATCTACACGTATTAACAGTGAGCAGCCTAGAAATGACTCATCCAAAAACCGATTGCATTTAGAGAGACCTGACATTTTCCTATATCTGCTCAGACTACAGCTAATATTTAGGTTCCCTCTATTGAAGATAAAATCCAAATACTAGCCTGGAGTTGCACTGGTGGTATAGCATTGTCAGTTCCACATTCGCGGCTTGATTTGGCATCCCCTCAATAAATGGAGGCTGATCACACAAAAGAGATTATGTGCTAAGTACCTGTAGCAGAGGGCATCGTCTGTATGGCTCTTCCACCACTCTGCCATAGGTGATTTAAAACGGGCCCACTGGGTTATTGTGGGGAGGCCTGGGGGAGAGAGAGATGCCTGCTTTTCAAGAACGAAGGAGTTAAAAATCATTTTTTAAAAAAACCCTGTGCCCTAAATTAATTTCTGCTGGTAATCTATATTGGGTTAAATAACTCCTCATTATTCTTCAACACAGCTGAGGCTTCTCAAAATGTTTATCTTGTTTTGTAACTGGTACCTTCTGGCATGTTCCAGTGCCAACTCGCCTAGCCCTTGCTATATTTCATTCTCACTATTTTTGGAATGGAGCTGCTGGTTCCAGGTGATTTAATAAATTGCTTCTTTTTTTTCCCTGTGTTCCTTTTAACTTACCCATCTGCTCAACACATGCGTAACTTGCAATCTGTCGGCAGTTTGCAGAAAGACAAACTGTCAGAGCTGCGTGCATTTGACAACTTTGTTCCCAATTAGATTAGTGGTAATTTTAACAGATTTCAGGGCAATCGAAAAAAGGGATGACATGTTATTAAAGCATCAATTTTGACAAACCCGAGCACATACAATTTCAGTGTAAATTATTTTAAATGCTTTAATTAAAGTGGTGAAAGATTTACCCTTTTAAGCAGGAAGTGACTGCAAGACAAATATAAAGGGAAAGTGGATAACAGAGTTTCCTAAATGGTTTATGCTGCGCATGGCAGTCCACCAGTCACCACCACCATAATCTATGACTGTAATGTTGGAGGCATAGTTAATTATTCATAGCCTCCTCTCTGTAGCAGATGTGATTAAGAACATGAAGTGCAGTATTTAGAGATCTAAGCACTACCTATGAAAATCTCAGCTCAAGCCTCTTTTAGATTAGAAGCTGTCAGAAAACGGCCTGGGAATCTAAAATGGTGGATATATTTGTAAATATCACCCATTTGCTCTTTGTTCTGCAACCCCTCCTGTAGTACAGATGCCCAAGCCCATGAGTGGAAGTGAGTGGTTATCTGGAGCAAGCATTGCTTTTCCTATACTTGAGGACATGTTACAGCCTTCGGAGCCCAGTAAAAGAATGCAACATATATTATTTAAACTGAATACAGCACTCAAAATCCATCAGTACCAGAGTGCTTATACCATATGTATAGTACACTTAACCATTTAAACAGCTTCATGAATTATGACACCAATCCAGCATTCTTCATGCAACAAACCTCCCATTGGCTTTACTAGGTGATTTTCACAGTAAGGAGTGCAGGACCCATATGTTATCCAGCCATAGTGTGTTGTTGGACTAACTGATTTGTTCTACTAGAAGGAAATAATCCCTTAGTCGCATCATCTTGGTGGCTGGAAAATAATGTGCACACATTTAGCTGCACCCATGTGGATGCTCAAAACAGGGGGAGGGTTGGGAAGGGAACAAAGAGCCCTTGATATCTCCTTGCAGCTGCTATGCAGGATCCAGTCACAATTGCAGTCCTACCCTCTTGTCTGTACAGAGACGGCTCCCCACTAACACCCTGTAGGACACAGGCCTCTCCAAGGGAAACAAGAAGAGGTGAAATGGTGCAGCAGGCAGGGCTTTCCTAGGCACCAAGGATTTTTGGGTAAACAGGTTAAAGTTTTGGAGCAATGTGACTCCACATCACCCCAAACTGGGACTGTCCTTAAAGCCATAACTGAGTCCTTATATCCCAATTCTGCAAAGCCCTTAAGAACACACTTAAGTGTTTTGCTGAATCAGAGCCTAAGTCTTTGAGGAAGATCTCATTGTTGGACAGCGAAAAATACAAAAATAAAGAGCTGCATTCTTGTAGAATTCTGCATTGTTATTTGTGCCTCTTATTTTTCATTTAGATGTTCTTCAGCTTACAGACCTGGATAGTCCATTAAAAAACCTTACTTACATAATTACCAAGCACCCACACAGTATGGTCATCTCTGCATGACGGAGACTGTCTTGTATTGGGGCCAGTTTACACAGATGGTTATCAATAACATGGAAGCGTACTACAGACACAATGGATGTGCTGGGAAAATTGATAGATTTTCATTTGTAGCTACCGACAAAGTCAATCATGGTTTTCTGGTCAATGGGCAAATGAGAGAAAAGGCAATGGAATTTACAATATAGGTAACTATGGTTATTAAATGTAGCTATCTCCCTTCTGAAGCATCTCTTAAATAAAGAAGTATCTAATAAAAGACCACTAAGTTCTAACTAGAGCTGTGTTGTTAACAGATTTTTTTGGTTTGCAGGCAAGTCTGAAATTTAAAAAAACAGTTTGGGGTCAAATTGAAAATGAACCTTTTCGAGAATTGTGGCAAATCAAAATTCAGAAAAATCCTTCTTGGGTCAAACAAAAATTTTCATTTCAACAAAATCAAAGCATCTTGTTTTGATTTTGACCATTTTCAACCTTTTTGATTGTTTTTTAAAAAAATTAAAGAACATTTTGAAATGAACAGTCATTTCTAACCAAAAAAATGAAACATTTCATTTTGAAAATGTCAGAACAAATTGTTTCAGTATTTTTCAGGGGTTTTTTTCCAACTGAAATAATTTGTCAAAATAGACACAAATTTATGAAACATTTTTGTGTTGCCAAATCTGCATTTTTTGCCCCAAAAGGTTTCAGACATTTTTTTTTGCCCAGCTCTAGTTCTAACTATGAGGGAGGAACAAACCATTTGCTTTTTTTTTTGCCTGCTTTTGGGAAAGCTTACCTCCTTGATACTATTATTTTTCATTTTGATATAGCTTTACACTTTTCAGTTCAAGCCAAGAATTGCTGAAAATCTTGTGTGTGAGAATGTTTCCATGAAAAATCTGGGCCAAAAGTGTAGGCTCAAGAGGCTCAGATATATTGAAAATCATGTGAATTTGAAGGTGCTTCTCTGAATACAATGGAACCATTAAAATATCTGAGAGCAAATCTCTATTAACTGCATCTGAAAGTACGTACCAAGCCCAGTGGGCCTCTTAACTGCAAAATACTGTAAACTGAAATAGCCAATGTTCATTAACTGATTAGTAATTAACAATGGTTATTTCTAGGGCATGACTTCAAAGGCTTATATAGAACAAAAACTAATTTGTGCTGTTTGCCAAAACTTGGAGCAAACAAATGTTATTTTTTAAAAGTGATTTGATTTACTTATTTTATTGTTCATTTACCTCTGAGCCTCCTGATTTTGATTTACACTGCTGGCAAAGATAGTATGAAATGTTTCTTGTGGTATTTCTGACCCAACCAGGTACTGGAAATCTCACAAGACTATTTGATTTCTCTACCAAAACTGTTCAGATAAGCAAATCAGGAGTATGAACGCTTACCAGTGTGAAGCAAACAAAAGCTTTTAAGATTCACCCCTTGAGTGAACACTATCCATTGTTTTTCTGATACTCCACATTGTACAGTCTCATTTTGGTTGTTGGGTTTAGTGTGCAAGTGCTGGGTGGCATTGGTGGCCTGTGAGATATAGGACATCAGACTAGATGATCTGGCAGTCCCTTCTGGCCTTAAACTCTATGGCAACTGAGTTTTTCAGAAGAAACTACATCACTACATGGAGTTTGTTCCAAGCTATATAGATTAGTAATGGGCATACACTATAAAGTTCAGATCTGGATTTGAACTTTGCCGAAGTTTGGAGGTTATAAGATCTGGCCAGTCCTACGTTTCTATGATCCTATGATTTAGGAGCAAAAGACCAATTAACTTTCATTGAAAATCCTTTGTCTCTTGATTGCTAGAGATATTCACCTTTATTCTCTGTAACCTAGAGTATCCTAATTTCCCTTCAGTGTCATTGGTATTTTCTGATCTTCTTGTAGATAACTTGGACAATTGACAGTAATGTCATCTGAGATTTGAGGTGCTGGATATTGAAAAATTATAGGTACTGTGAGGTATGTCTGGCTAACATTTCAGCAACAAATGAATTGTTTCTTGTTCCTTATCTCTCGCATTTTTATCAGTAATTCAGAATTCCATAACAACTGAAATGTGTATGATATAGAAAAGCAGAGTTCAACATTTTAGAGAGTGCTTGGGGGACCAGATTCCTAGCCAGTGTAAATCAATGTAGTTTCACTGACTTACTGGCAGGGCCGGCTCCAGCATTTCTGCCGCCCCAAGCAAAAAAAAAAAAAAAAAAAAAA